ATCCTCCTGCCTCAGCCTCCCGAGTAGCTGAGACGACAGACACAAGCCACCACACCTGGTTAATTTTTTCTACTTTTAGAAGGGACGGGGTCTTGCTTTTTGCTCAGGCTGGTCTCAAACTCCTGACCTGAAGTGATCCTCCCGCCTCGGCCTCCCAGAGTGCTAGGATTACAGGCGTGAGCCACCACACCCAGCCAGAAATGAGTATGTCTCGAAAAATCAGAATAAACTGTGTTAAAAGTTCAGTCCCGAAACAATGTTGTTCGAACAGTAAATTAGGCCCCTTGTACACCAGACCAGAAATTCTTCTGTTTCTTTGTTATCTTTACGAGGCTAGCACAATACACTGTATTGTACACTACGTTGTGAAACTGGTGGCGTGTGATGCCTGAGCACTTATTCTTTAGTAATTTTTACATTTTTTTCTTTTCCTTTCTTTTTTTCTTTTTTTTAGACAGGATCTCACTCTGTTGCCCGGGCTAGAATGCAGTGGCGTCAGCCTAGCTCACAGCAACCTCACACTCCTGGGCTCAAGCAATTCTCCCGTGTCAGCCTCCCGAGTAGCTGGGACTACGGGCAGGTGTACGCCACCATGCTCAGCTATGCGTTAGTGATTTGAGGTGCTCCTGAGCACACTGTATCTCCCCAGGCCCAGGTCAGCACACACTTGTTGAATACCTACTGAATGAATGACCATGAACCAGAATGTGAACTATTCGACTAGGCAGCAGGCGGTTTCAGGATGCCGGGCAGCCACGGTGGTGGCTGGAGAGGGGCAGTGACTCTGAACTCTTGACAGAGGAGCGAGAGCTAGCTGCAGGGTCCAGAGACTTTAGAAAAGACACGTTCCTGAAATAAAAAACACTGTGTCTAGTTACAGATCATTCAGAGCTCGCTGTATGTTCCCTATGCTCTTTCAGCCGATCAAGATCTGTATTCTGGGTCCTCCCGCAGTGGGGAAATCCAGTATTGCTGGAGAACTGTCCAAGTACTACAAACTGCACCACATCAAACTGAAGGATGTCATTTCCGAAGCCATAGCAAAACTGGTAACACTTTGAATGACTTTATTGCGAAGTTTTATATTTTAGAAATGCTTTTCTTAGTCATATAAAAAACAAGTAACTAGTTCTACATGATGGTAAACGAACAGATTTGTTATTTTGATTGGATTTTCTTACTGGCCCCAGTTATGAAAACACAGACCCCCGCAGGGCTTCCTCTGTGTGACGGAAGCATTGCGAAATCGAATCTGCCTCCGGCTGTTGCCGAAAGCATGCGGGCTTAGCTCTCCAGTCATCTTCTCTGTTGACTGGAACATTTTTAGGTTTTTTATCCTCACGGTATGTTTCTCAGGATATTATCAGATATTTATTTATGAACTGCTTTTTATAATTTTATTGGGAATGGTGAATACTGAGGTATGTATTCATGCCATTTATGGAAATGGTATGAATAAATGATTACTAAAACTCTTGATTTCTACAAAATATGTTTCCTTCAAGATACAAGGTATTAATAATATCTTAGAAAAGTGTAGCTTCTTAAGCAGTTCTGGCATTAGCATGGAAATACATTATTCCCCTAAAAACAGAGGAAAAACCTGAGGCTGTCATCCATCTTTTGTATATACAAGCATCCTGCAAGCTTTTGCATGACAGCTGGTGTTGGGTAGGTTCCCTGTTTGGGTACCAGACTTTTCCCGGGATCACTTGCCAGATGATTTGGGAGTAGCAGGGCATCACCCAATTTGAATATCCCTGTGGGGCATGTAGGAGTCGATTGTCGCACCTAAGGATGCAGGAGAAGGAGAAGAAGAGGAAGAAGGTGAAGAGGAAGAAGAGGAGGAGAACGTGGAAGATGCTCAGGAGCTCCTAGACGGCATCAAGGAAAGCATGGAACAGAATGCAGGTAACACACACACAGCATGGAGCTGCGCTGACCTTGTTCCCTTTTTTTTTGTTTTGTTTAGAGATAAGGTCTTGCTCTGTCGCCCAGGCTGGAGTGCATGATCATAGCTCATTGTAACCTTGAACTCCTGTGCGCAGATATTTTTTTTTTTTATTGCAGCATATTATGGGGATATAGATGTTTAGGTTACGTATGTTGCCCTTGCCCCTCCCCACCCCCCAAGTCCGAGCTTCAAGCGTGTCCATCACCCGGATGGTGCACATCTCACTCTTTGTGTATGCATATACCCGTCCCCTCCTCCCCCCCCCCGCCCGCATCCAATAGATGTTATTCTTACATGTGCACTTATGTGTTGATCAGTTAATACCAGTTTGGTGGTGAGTACATGTGGTGCATTCTTGGGATACTTCACTTAGTAGAATGCGTTCCAGCTCTATCCAGGAGAATACAAGAGGTGCTATATCACCATTGTTTCTTAAAGCTGAATAGTACGCCATGGTATACATATACCACATTTTATTAATCCACTCATGTATTGATGGACACTTGGGTTGTTTCCACATCTTTGCAATTGTGAATTGTGCTGCTATAAACATTCGGGTGCAGCTGTCTTTTTTATAGAGTATCATTTGTTCTTTTGGGTAGATGCCGAGTAATGGGATTGCTGGATCAAATGGTAATTCTACTTGTATCTCTTTAAGGTATCTCCATATTGCTTTCCACAGAGGTTGCACTAGTTTGCAGTCCCACCAGCAGTGTATGAGTGTTCCTATCTCTCCACATCCACGCCAACATTTATTGTTTTGGGACTTTTTGATAAAGGCCAGTCTCACTGGAGATAAGTGATATCTCATTGTGGTTTTGATTTGCATTTCCCTGATGATTAGAGATGTTGAGCATTTTTTCATATGTTTTTTGGCCATTATTCTGTCTTCTTTTGAAAAGTTTCTGTTCATGTCCTTTGCCCACTTTTTGATAGGGTTGTTTGATTTTTTCTTGTTGATTTTCCTGAGTTCTAAGTAGATTCTAGTTATCAACCCTTTATCGAATTTGTAGCATGCAAAAATTTTCTCCCATTCTGTAGGTTGTCTGTTGTTCTTGTGACAGTTTCTTTGGCTCTGCAGAAGCTTTTTAATTTGATCGGATCCCATTTATTTATTTTGGTTGTTGCTGTGATTGCCTTTGGGGTCTTCTTCATAAATTCTTTGCCTAGGCCAATGTCTAGAAGAGTATTTCCAACATCTTCCTCTAGAATTCTAATAGTTTCACTCCTTAGGTTTAAATCTGTTACCCAGCGTGAGTTGATTTTTGTGAGAGGTGAAAGGTGTGGATCCTGGTTCAGTCTTCTACATGTGGCTATCCAGTTTTCCCAGCACCATTTATTGAATAAGGATTCTTTTCCCCAGTGTATGTTTTTGTCTGCTTTGTCAAAGATTAGATGGCTATACGAGGATGGTTTTATATCTGGGTTCTCAGTTCTGTTCCACTGGTCAATGACTCTATTTTTGTGCCAGTGCCAAGCTGTTTTGATTACTACAGCCTTATAATAAAGTTTGAAGTCTGGTAAGTTGATACCTCCCATTTTGTTTTTATTGCCTAGAATTGTTTTTGCTTTGTGCGCAGATATTTGTGAACAGCAGCTATTTTTTTAATCTGCTTATAAAAGACTACGTGTTTGCTATTAAAAGCAAGTATGGAAATTATGATAAAAACAAAGAAATTTCATTCATAATCTCACCCCCTAGGGAAAAAAAAAATCATTGTTAACATTTTGGTGACTCTCTGATGGTAGAATAGGAAAGAACTTCCTAAACTAAAAAATGTCAAATGTGTGTTCATAAGTGTTTTATAAGAGTCAAACATCGTTAATTAAAACACAAAGGACAAACCAAGAAAAAAAATGCTTGCCACCAATACGATAAAGTTAATATCCTTAGTATATGAAAGTATACTTAGTATACTCGGGTAAATTGATAAGAAAATCATTAAATCCTTAAATGAAAAAAATGAATGAATAACATTGGACCAGTGATTCATGCAGGAAGAAATATAAATAAATGGAAAAATATTCTTACTCACTTGGTAATTAATTGTAACCAGTTTGTTGAACAAACTAATCACACTAAGGTGTCCCTTTAAACTCAAGGTCTATATTCATTCTTTCCAAGCCCTTGGATAGCATTTCAGGCTGGTCCCATTGCTACTCTTAGATGTTAAATGAGCAGTCTGTGGCCGTACCAGCCTGAACACGCCTGATCTCATCTCATCTCAGAAGCTAAGCAGGGTCCGGCCTGGTTAGTACTTGGATGGGAGATAGTAAATGAGAAACCCCTTTGTTTATTCATGGCTGAAGAAGTCCATCCCAATCAAATACTTACAAATTGGGTTTCATTTTTTAATTTTGTATTTTTAATTATTATGGGTACATAATAGTTGTATACATTTATAGGGTACATGTGATGTTTTGATACAGGCATACGATGTGTAATAACCAAATCAGGGTAATTGGGGCATCCATCACCTCAAGCATTTATCATTTCTTTGTGTTAGGAACATTCCAATTCCACTTTTTTAGTTATTTTAAAGTATACCATAACTTATGGTTGACCATAGTACAAACTGGTTTTGAACTGCAGTCTCTAAGGGAGCTTGCTACCTGGTAGGAAAGCAGTTGTAGCAGTCATTAGAAAGATAAAAACACTTCATTTTTACTCTTAGACTGTTGAGATCCTCCATCAGACTGGTTATTCTAGTATATGTCAATACTTTGGACTCTTGCCTGTAGGGGCCGTCCCTGGGCAAATTGGCTTAAGCCCAGAGTCAGCGAAACTGGGCGTGCTCTCCTTGGGGCCAGAGGTCAATAGGTTCGGACACGGCCTGTTGGACAAACAGAACTATTCCTCATGACAGATAGCTTTATGATTGATAACCAAGCGCCTGGGGTCTTGCAAACAAGCCAAGGCATCTCATTGTCCTGCATACAGTAATGAGGTAAAGAAGTTAAGATACAAGAAGTTAAGATGCAAACGTCTGCTTCCCTTAAGCAATCGTCTGGAAGGAATGAAAACGTGTTTCCTCAAGACGCCCAAGGTAGTCACGTACCAGGAAGTAGCTGCCGGACATAGAAAAAGTATATAATAAAGCGACTGGTAGAATTATCTACTGCAGTCTTTTATGTCTTGTGTGTGTCTGTGTGTTTCTTTCTGTGTCCATCCCCCGTTCTGCAATCCGGGCCGCGACACTTGCCCAACACAGAGTTTCTCCCTCTGCCAGGCTCTCGACCATGTTTGCTTTCTTTCCTCCTCCTTCCTCTTCCCCTCTTGCTGGTGGCTGTTTCTGATCCTCCAGGGTCAGGCTGGAGAAGGACAGAGGCACATGCCACTGGCTCAGATGTGAGCCAGCATTGGGTGACAGGTGCTCCCGCTTGCCGTTCCTTCCTGGGTTGCACTTCCGTGGGTTTTTCAGATTCTCTCGCTGCGAATCCCCGCAGTAAACTGCACTGCACACCCTGGGGGCACAGCCGGTGCCTGCTTCCGTGGCCATCCCTGGTCTTCTGGCTCTATACCCTTTGTTCCTGGAGGTGGTCCTCTTCCCAGCTGCTAATCTCCACCGTGGTTGGGGGCCTAGTTTCTTCCTCCTAACTTCATCCCACCCCCTACACGGTGTCTGAGTCACCCACAGTCCACTTGGGGACGTGCGGCTGTCCAGAGCTGTTTGACAGTGGCCAGCATGAGCAGGGTTCAGGCTGGTCCCTGGTTTTTAGTCCCCACGTTTGCCACTCTCCCCTTCCACTTCAAGGCCTCTAGTCTGTCATGCTTCCTCTGAAGTCCAGGCTATCCCTGTACTTCTCCTTCTTCCCACAGGCCAGTCTGATCTAGTTTCCTGATATGGAGAAAATGTGTTTTGGAGGGTTTTATTGGTTGATGTTTTGGGTTTTTTTTTTAAATATTGAGACAGGGGTCTTTCTATGTTGCCCAGGCTGGTCTGGAATTCCTGGGCTCAAGTGATCCTCCCACCACAGCCTCCTGAGTAGCTCAGAATGGTTTAGTATTCAGACACCTGAGTGTCCACTTAAACCAGCCGATTATCTGAGTCTTGGTTTCTGCTTTGGTGTGGGCTGGGCAGGAAGGAAATGGAATTTAGAATCCCAGAGAGATTTCCCAGAGGGGAAGGGAAGTACCCAGAAAGCACAGGTGAATGCTTGGAGATATAACATTTCCTCTGCCTCACCGATGAGACATTTGGGAGTCACGATTTTGGTTTTAGAGAGTCTAACAGAGTCCTGGCACCCACCTTTGAAGTAGGCACAAGAAAACCAAGATAAGACATTCTGTTGTGAGGACACCTTTGGTAAGAAATTGTTCAAGGCCACATTAAGGGGTGGTGGACTGGGATTTTTAGGAATCCACAAGTGTGGCTGGGCATGGTGGCTCATGCCTGTAATGCTTCTGAGAGGTCTAGGCAGGAGGATTGTTTGAGGCCAGGAGTTTGAGACCAGACTGGGCAATATAGTGAGACCCCATCTCTACAAAAAATTTTTTTAAAAAAGGGGACTCCACAGGTGTACATGGCCATGTGTACATAAACCTCATGGCTGGGGCATAAGGCTAGAAACAGGGGGCTGGGGGCAGTGAACCATGCCACCCCCTGGAAGAAAGGCAAGAATGTCTGATATTCAGGCTAACAGGACTAGGCAAACATTGAACCTTACTTACTAATATTAATAGAGACATATAATTGGTCTTTGCAAGGACTCAAGAATCTTATCCAAGGGGTTAATGTAACAGGATGGTGTGAAGTACTAACTGAACTCTTTTCATGCCCGGGGGTGGGTGGCCACGTAGAACAAGAATTATAGTAGAGACAGTGCCCAGCTGTACATAGTCACTGAGTCCCCCAAGCTCAAAAAGGGCTTGTCCTTGGCAGGAGACTCTGTTCTTCCCCCAGGTGCAAGAGGGGCCAAAGAGATGTAGGAGGGGCAGGGGAGGGAGCAGAGGAAG